GACTCATAGCGACCCTGTATCGGGTTTCCAAGGAGCGGCTAGTGAGTTTAAACCATGGAATGGTTACTAAATCTTTCTGATTTCCCCCTTTTTAATTTTGATGTGAAAGTGTATTAATTTTCTTTGCGGTTATATCCTGGAGGTACATCATGCACAGCTATCACTGGTTTCTCAATGGAGGCTCACATGTGGCTCTGAGGCTTAACAGGTTTCGGGGAGCTTCCAGACTAAGACAGACTAGGAAGAAAGGCCTGACAACCTACTCCCAAAAAACAGTAAATGAAAACTCTATGGATCACAGTGGTCCAATCAGCAGTTGATCATGGGGACGGTACAGGGCTGGGAAGCATTTGGTTTTGATGTGCATAGGGTTGCCGTAAGTTGGGGACAGGCTTAACAGCAGCTATCAACAACAATGTATTATTATCTCCAGCCCACACTTTTCCCCTGACCTCTAGACTTGTGGGCCCACCTCTCTACTTAACATTTTCACCTGGATACCTCACAGGCATCTCAAACTTAGAATGTCAAAACAGAACTCTTCATTTCTGTCTCAATACAAACCTGCTCCTCCTACAGACTCTCCTTCATTAAATTTATTTAATAAATATTTATTAAGTGCCAACTAGAACAATGAATGGAGTCCTGATGTGGCGCTGTAGGAAAAGCACTGGACTGATACACTAACCACAATCTTGGTAGTTTATACTCACCAGCTGCTCCAGTAAAGATTTACAGCCTTGGAAACCCTATACAAGGTCACTATGAGTCAGAATTGACTTACCAACAACAAACAACAGAGCAGTGAACAGAGCAGATGAAAACCCCAGTACTCAGAGAACATAATACAGTCTACTGGTATGGGCGACATACAGTAAACAGAAAAATGTAAATTTAATGGTACATTATGATAGTAAGTGCTGGGAGAAAAACAAAATAGGGAAGGGTAGGGAGTATAGAGGATAAGAACGAAATTATAAAAAAAGATGAACAGATGATGAAGTCAGAGAGGGGGGCTAGCTGATGAGTTTTTCCTGTAAGGAAGATGGGTAACCACTAAAAGATTTTGAACAAAGACATGACATGAACTGCTGTGAAGAAACTGGAGAGGACATGTTCGGATGCCAGCAGGTTAGGAAGTTCCAAGTGAGAGATGATGGATGATGGGGACTTGGACAAAGTGATCATGCAGGAGTTTGTGAGAGAAGCTCACATTATGGATCAATTATGAAGAGCGCTCCACCACCATCCATTCAGTTCCTCATGCCAAAAATCTAGGCCTCATCCTTGATTCCTCCTTTCCCATCATATCCCACATCTAACCCATCTGCAAGTCCTTGTTATTCTATCTCCAAAATATATCTCAAAGTCACTGTTTCTGTCCATCTTCACTGCCCCCACAGCTCAGCTAAACTGCCATTACTTCAGGCCTGCAATAGCATCTGATCTGATCGGCCTGCTTTCTCTTTTGCCCCCTTTAAATCATTCTCAACAAGCTGCCAGAGGGATCATTTAAAAATGAATCATATCAATCTCAGATTGGAATCCTTTGAAAGCTTTCCAATATACCAGAAGTATTTCAAATTCATACCATGAACTACAAGGAGCCCTGGTAGCGTAGTTGATTCTGAGCTGGGCTACTAACCACAAGGTCAGTACTTCAAATCTACCAGCCACTCAGCGGTAGAAAGATGAGGCTTTCTGCTCCCATAAAATTTACAGCCTCAGAAATCCTATGCAGGGTTACTATGATTCTGAACTGACTCAGTGGCATATCACTACCACCACCACCACCACCGTGAAACTACAAGGGCTGATGTGATCTGTCGCTAATGACCTCTCTGTTTTAATCTCCTTTCTTTCCTTGCTCCTCCTGCTCCAGCCACACTGGGCTCCTTTCTGTTCTTCAGCCTGCTAATCTCTTTCCCACCTCAGAGCCATGCTGTCACTTCTGCCTGAGTCATCTTAACCCTACTTTTTTTTTTTTTTTTGCATGACTGGTCCCTTTGTTGTTGTTGTTGTTAAGTGCCTTCGAGTCGGAGCCGACCCATAGCGACCCTGTACAGGGTTTCCGAGGGTGTAAATCCTTACGGGAGTAGAAAGCCTCATCTTTCTCCCGCAGAGCGGCTGGTAGTTTCGAACCACTGACCTTAAGGTTCGCAGCCCGATTCGTAACCACTACGCTACCAGAGCTCCTTGACTGGTCCCTTATCAACTGTCAAATTTCAGCCATACCTCCTCAGAGACCTCCTTGACAAGCTTCCCAATCTAGTACAGCCCATATAGTCCACCACACAGTGTCTTGGAAAGTTCACAGTTGTTCAGAGGAGATAAAGTAAATTGTTGCTGTTGTTAGTGCTGTTGAGTCAGTTCCGACCCATAGTGACCCTATATAGGGGTTTCGAGGCACACATACACTTTAAGCATAATCACAGGAGAGTGAATGAGGTGGGGGCTCTTAAAGCATAGGGCTATCATACACTGTCAGGGCCAGAAGAACTAGTCTCTTTGCAATGTCCAGATGATGTGTGCTTGATATCTCCAACGTAGGCACTTGCACTAACTTCTGGACAGCTTTGGTATTGGAACTTCTGTATTCAGAGCCAAAATCTGGTTCTCTGGAGCTGATACATTCTTGTGCATTTCAAGACAGCATAACCGAACCCCTCTTTGACACAGCAGTCTTTCTAACCAGGGCAGCCTTACAGCCCAGGTTTCCCAACCTCCCTAGGCTCATCTCCCATCCCCAGGTTTCTCCTGAGCACTCTCCTCTGAATGTGCTTCTACTGGTTCTCTTACCTTCCAGTGCCCCTCAGCAATCCTGGTCAGCAATTCAGGTTGGGCCAATGGACTCTTTCTACCTCCCAGGTTCTCTACTTCTAGGAATGGGACCCTTCAGCAGTAATCTCTGGGCCCATCTGTAGGTAGCATCTTCCCAGCTACAGAAAGCTCAGGATAATGAGCTGGACCACAAGGTCAGTTTGAGCCAAAAGGTCGGCGTGTCAAACCCACCAGCCATTCCTTGGAAACTATGCAGGGTCGCTATGAGTCGGAAAGGACTCGACGACACTTAACAACGCAGGAAGCTCAAGCTACAGCAAGCTCAACATTATCTCCGTGTCTTGTGCCTTACACTGGTCCAGACACCAAGTGATTGGTCTAAAATCGCTAGTGATTGTTGCGAAGTGCTATCGAGTTGGTTCCCACTCATAGCGACCTGGCATAGTGTTTCTGAGGAGCGGAGCGGGGGGCTGGTGGATTTGAATCACCGACCTGGGGTTAGCAGTCCTACATAACATAACGCCTGCATCATCTGTCCTGGGAACTCACAAAAACTCGTGTTGTTAGTGCCTTGCAGGCCATTCCAACAGTTTTCCAAGAGGTTTTAACTACCTGGTAGGTTTGAACCACCGACCTCAAGATTAATAGTTCAATGCTTATCCTACAGCGCCGCACCAGTTCTACAATTCATCGAGTGAATTCGGGTCCGAAATTAAATAAGGCTCCGTCCTGCCCTCAGCTCGTTGCACCCCTAGTCTCGCCTTCCCCTTTACGTGTTCTTCGAGGTAGGGTAGATTTGGGGGAGCCTTATTTGATTTTGTAGGTTTTCCGAGGAGCAGCTGGTGGGTTTGAACTGCCTACCTTGTGGTTGGCCCCTTTACATTTCCCTACACGCGGTTCCAATTGGGAAAGCTTTTACTTTAGATTAAGAGCTAAAAGGTAACACCCTCACTACTATGACTACGCCTCCTTTACCCACGTTCCCCAGACGAACCGGAAGAGATGGTCCGGCCCCTAGTTCGTAGGCCCGGAAGTAAATTTCCCTCACGGAAGTCGGCTTTGGCCCTGCGGCTGCTGCTGTAGCCGCGGAGATATTGTTGGAGCTGGCAGCCTAGGAATGGTAAGACTTAAAGGTTCGCTTTTGAGGGTTTGTGCGGAGTTAGAGGTGAAAGGAAGTTTCTCAGAGAACCTCTGGGGACGACCCCCGCCCAAGGTTTGGGGCCCCGCCCCGGTAGCGCCCCGAAAACCTGCGCATGCGTGGGCTGGACTGGGCTACTAGCTGGCCTGAGGTGTTACGCATGCGCAAATGTGGCATGAAGGTTCGCTGAGAATTGGCCTGTGGTTTGTCCTATCACCCCACCAGCCGTTGGGACTTAAAACTTGGGTACAGGGGCTTCAGGGTTCACTCGGTGCTCAGCTTCTGAGTTGTAGAGCTGGCTTCATCGCCACCCCCATTCTGAACCCCTGAAACAGACCTAGATTGACAGCCCCCTCGACGGTGTCCAGTTGGGGGAGAAAGAGAAGCAGAGGGACCGGGAATGGACGCGGATCCCGTCTCAAGCTGTTCTCGGGATTTGGCCCCTTCGTCCTCTGGCCAGGTGTCAAGCTTCCTGTGAAGCGCTGAGCTCACCTGGAGGCAGAACCAGAAGCCCGGGTCATGAGCTGCCCTCGTCAGATGGGGCGGGACCGCAAGTGGATCCCCCCAGCCCTGAAATTGAGTTCTCCGGAGGTTAGGAATGAGGGTTCCCAGGGCGCTTGGTTTTCTCGCAGCTCCAAAGCCACGGGCTTTTTAAGCTTCCACAAGGTCCCACTAAAGCTGCGGTTGGGGGGGAAATTGAGACCTCTGGATGGAGTGCTGTTTCCCTTTACTTTCCCCATCTTTGGCCTGGGAGCCCTGGTGTGGCGCCGTATGATCACCGGACAGTGAACCACAAATTTGGCGGAAAAACCACCAGCTGCTCCTCGGAAACCCTCTATAGTGCCGCTATGAGTCGGAACCGACTCAGTGGCACTTACCAATAAGAACAATGAGTCAGAACCGACTGCCAGCACTTAACAACAACAACTTTGGCCTGGAAGGTGAAAGGTGGTGCTGTTGAGCTGAGTGAGCAGCTAAGAAAAGTCCTTTATTTCTTGTTAATTTAAGTCAAGGCCCTTCCCCTAGGGCCTATGGATAGCATTAGAAGGGACCATGAACTCTAAAATACTATGTGTTTGTACCTTGTTTTGGAGTCCATAGCTTTATCGTGTTATTAAAGAAGTCAGTGACAATCAAAAGGCTTCCAGGTTTGTATGGAGCATACTGGCATAACAGGACCTGTGCCTCTTTCCTCTCCAGTGTCTTCCCTAGTTTGTGGACCCTAGAGAGCCTGCACCAGTGTGCAGAGGTTAGGCTGGAAACCTCAGACAACCACATTTCTCCTTTGCAGACTCTCCTTTCAGCCTCTACGCTCACCTGGTCAGAATCCTTGAATGAGCCTGTGGGATCTGTCCTCCTGGCCCTGTGGTTTGGAACCTGTGGCTTTGGGACTGTATAAGGATGGACAAAGGTACTATAAGACCGGGCCAACTCTCCAAACACTTGGTGCTAAGTATCTGCTGATTCTGCCCTATGCCTGTTATGTGTGTCTTTGGCTCCTGGCTAGGCAGTGCCACCTCCTAGGCCCGCTCCCCCCATGTACCCCATGTACCTCATGGCAGAGGCCACAATTGACTGACTTACTGTTGAGCTGGCAGAGGGAGCAGTTATTTCCCAGCCCTGTGTGTCACATCACCAGTCTGACCTGAGCACCATGTACTACATGGTATGACGTGTGACACCAAGAGAACTGCCCAGCATGAACAGTCTGGACCAGCTCTGAGCTCAGATGGGGTCTGGATAGCCAAAGAACTCCCACCTTAATGCATCAAGTGTCAAGGAGGCAGGGGAGAAGCTGGGAGGATGGGCTGAGCATAAGGCCTGCTAGTCATTTAAGAGACGTGAATTCACTGCTTCTCTGGTTCCAGATTCTCATGGTCTGCTAGATTCATCCCTGATGGCATCAGGCACTGCCAGTCGCTCAGAGGACGAAGAGTCACTGGCAGGACAGAAGCGGGCTTCCTCCCAGGCCTTGGGCACCATCCCTAAACGGAGAAGCTCCTCCAGGTAGTAAGAGTTGAGAGGGCCGGAGACTGAGAAGGGGAAAACATCTGTGGCATCAGGTGTTGCTTGCCTTTGCCCTTGTAGGGTCTAGCTAACTGAGCTCCTCTGGGACTTAAGCCTGGACCGAGTATTGTGGGTTTCCAGTTCTTCCCAAAGGACTGTGACAAAGGGCAAAGGAGATAGCTCTTAGGCCCTTGATGTGAAATCTTTGAGACGCCAGTACCCTGGCATCTCCAAGGTGTGAAGCAAGCAATTCCATGCCCCTTGAGCTGGCTTTGGCATCAAGGGTGTCAGAATGGGGACTGGGAGTGGGTACGGAACACTCACTGGCAGGTTCCTCCCCAGGTTCATCAAAAGGAAGAAATTTGATGATGAACTAGTGGAGAGCAGCCTGGCCAAGTCCTCTACTCGGGCAAAGGGGGCCAGTGGTGTGGAACCTGGCCGCTGCTCAGGGAGCGAACCGTCTTCTAGTGAGAAGAAGAAGGTAAGAGTTGGGGGTGCAGGGGTGAGAGGGAGCCCTAGATTTCATGTGTCCCTGGAACCTTTGCCAGCTAGCAAGAGTTCTGCAGAGGAGGCTTGTAAAAGTGCCAAGCTGCCCCAGCCTCAACCTCAGATGCCTCCAACTAGGAGCTGTTTCTCCGTACTCCCCGTTTCTTGCTGCGTCCCCCCATCCTGCCAGTGCATCCTGTATCACATTCCGTGTGGGAGGCATGGAGCATGCATCTATTCTGGGAGTAGGCAGTCTGTTCTCAGCATTGCTGGGTGTAAAAATAACCCCCAGGTGGCATTGCTCTGGCCCCAGACGCTGTAGCAGCAAGAGTGTTTTCCTGGCATCCCCCCTCCCACTCCACACTCTGGGGTTCGGTGTGCCATCAGCAGAGAAGACCCAATATGGTCAAGTACTATGTGGTGGGGTATTAGAAGGAAGCAAGCGCCGCTTTTTCCCTGTGCTTCCTATTGTTCAGAGGGGCTGGAGTTGTTATAAACCACATCACACTTGAGGCCAGATGTCCCAGTTGTCCTGGAACTAGCTTCACATTCACTGTGCTGCTGGCCTCTGCCCAGGTATCCAAGGCTCCCAGCACTCCTGTGCCTCCCAGTCCAGCCCCTACCCCCGGACTCACCAAACGTGTGAAAAAGAGCAAGCAGCCACTTCAGGTGACCAAGGATCTGGGCCGCTGGAAGCCTGCCGATGACCTCCTACTCATCAATGCTGTGTTGCAGGTAGTGCTTCCCACCATCCCCTTTCCCCAACCTCCAGTTCCCAGCCCCCAAACTAGCCCAGGAATGCACTGTGGCGGGTAAGGGAAGGGTTCTTCCCAGCCTTATAAAGCTAGTGCAAACCCCTCTGGGACCTTGCAGACCAATGACCTGACATCTGTCCACCTGGGCGTCAAGTTCAGCTGTCGCTTTACCCTTCGGGAAGTCCAGGAGCGCTGGTATGCCCTGCTCTACGATCCTGTCATCTCCAAGTGAGTGGAGCCGTCTCCAGCACTGGGGAGGTACTGGGAACATCAGAATTCAGCTCCAAAAGCAGAGAGAATTGTACAAGGGCCTAAGGGAGGGGCCTGGGTGGCAGGGCTCATCTGAAGCTTCAGAGAGAAGCTCCTCCCTCCCTCCATTCCTGCTAGTCCTGGCACTGTGCCAAGAGATAGGAGCCTCTACAGCAGAGGAGGTAGTGTAAGGAAATGTCAGAATGAGCCCTGGGAACCCTCACTCTACCACAGTGTTTAAGTGTGGCTCTGGGCAGGTTTCCTCCTAACCTTTCACACTGACATTCCACAGTTTTTTCTCCAAAGATGAGGGAATTGGACCAGAAGAACCTTCAGCTCCAGCAGTCACAGTTTCAAATAAATCTACACGTGAGCACACGCATAACACACACACAATACACTTCCTCCTCCTCTGTAATTTAGTAATGTCTTCAGAGCTTGGTTGGATGCTTAACAGCTATTTTTCATTCTTCTCCATAGCGTTAGCTACCACTTAGGCTGTGACCAGGAGATGGGCAGGACTCAGCTCAGGGAAACGGGAGGTGGCAGGCAGTGGCTGCTGGGTGGCAACTTCAGTCAAGTAAGGAAGAAGGTCTTAATAGGGCAGCAGTTGGTTGCAAGATCTGTTCCAGGACTAGGCCTCTGGGGACCATGCCTTTGAGTGTCCTTCACTGGGTTGAACATGGAAGCTTAGTTTCCTGAGTTGTTTGTTCATTTGCTTGATAAACTGGAGAGACTGAGGGTTAAGCCTTGGGCTCTTCTGTTGAGGGCATGGATCTCAAAGGCCTACAGATTTGGAGGAAGTAAAGAACCCCAGATTACTTGACACCTTCCCCTCAACCCTGCCCTGAGCTCTACCTCTCCCTCTGGCTAGGCTGGCTTGCCAGGCCATGAGGCAGCTGCATCCAGAAGCCATTGCAGCCATCCAAAGCAAGGCCCTGTTTAGCAAGACTGAGGAACAACTGCTCAGCAAAGTGGGATCGGTAAGCCAGTGGGTTGGGTCGGGAGTTGGAACACCTAGAAAACTACTCATGGGGTGAACCAATGTCTAAACAGATTGGGGTGTGCTGTTCAGAGGCACGTCTGTTTGTGAGCAGGGCTCTTGGGAAGAGCTAAGCCTGGTTCCCTCAGGAATTGTGTCCCTTTCAGCTATTGTTCAGGATTGATGGTTGTTGGGTGGATGAGGCAGAGGCAGGAATAAGAAAACCCAGACACTTCAGAGCATGTTTCTTGCTCTCTAGACCAGCCAGCCCACCTTGGAGACCTTCCAGGACCTGCTGCACAGACATCCCGATGCATTCTACCTGGCCCGGACTGCCAAGGCTCTGCAGGCCCATTGGCAGCTCATGAAGCAGTATTACTTGCTGGAGGACCAGACAGGTAACTGGCCCCAGGACCAGACAGAGCAGGTCTGTGTGTGTATGCATGTATACAAAATGGTCTGGATACATCTGCCCTCAAGTGTCCTGTAACAGATCCTTCAGCAGTCCTAGTATCTTGTTGATTTCACTTTCCAACCAAGACTGCTTCCTTCTAGAGGGAGGGAACAGACTGGCAAGGTCTTCAGCATCATGGTACCAAAAAACCCACAGATGTTGAGCCGGTTCCGACTCGTATTATAGAGTTTCTGAGGCTTTACAGGAGCAGACAGCCTAGCCTCATCGCTCTTATTTGGAGCTGCTGGTGTATTTGAAATTCCGACATTGTGGTTAGCAGTCCAGTGCTTTTTCTACAGTGCCCTTAAGGCTCCTTCAGCATCATGGTAAGGGGAGCCAAATTTACCTAGAAGCCTGGGCAAAAACCCTAAATAGTAGTTATCACTCCTTGTTTGGGGTATTTGGGTTTTTTTTCTGCCATACTATACCATTACGTAAATAATACATTAACATTGTCAATAACGTTGAAACATGAGCATAATGTGTAAGTCCACTTTACAGCTCACCCTCCCATTTGTTTCCCACCCAGAGATAATAGCCACTTTTTCTAAACTGCGTTGTCCCTTCCCATCTGTCTGGCTGCCTTAGGCCATTCAGTAGTCTCCAGGGAACTTTACACCCTGTCCTTCTGTCTTCCTTCTTTAGAGCCAACATGCTCTCTGCTTCATTTCTTTCCTCTTCAACAAAACCCTTGCTCCCCTAGTGACACGTATTAGGAAAGCAGTCTGTGTAAAGCAGTCTGTGTAAAGCAGTCTGTGTAAACACACTTTTCAGTCGAATTTGTGATTCAGGTTCAGATTTTCACCGTGCACTTGTACTCAGCTCTTGCTTTCTGCACTGCATTACATACTGCCTGCTGGATGGGTTTTCACGAAAAGGTTTCACTACATAGTATTTCCACTGTTTTGTGCCTTTGCCTTACTAAAGGGACTTCTATGTCTGCTCTGTAGCAGTGCCCACTTGCTATCTTCTGTGAAGCTGCCACTGTAGCTTCTGGTTAAGAAACATTCTTATAGGAGGATGTTTAAAAATCTGACCTGAGGGAAGCCCTGTTTTTCCTTCTGACCAAACCAAAGCTAAACTATCATTAAGGGTTTCCAAGACTCTAAATCTCTATGGGAGCAGACAGTCTTATCTTTCTCCTGAGGAGCCACTGATGGGTTTGAACCTCTAACCATGTATTTAGCAACCCACTGCTGATTATAGTGTCCAGAGGGCAGCCCTCTTCAGTCCTGCAGCATCCAAACTTCAGGTTCTTCTTCAGGCATCATCTATCACTGAGCTCAGAGAGATCCCAACAGAAGATCCCAGACTGGATAAAGTTTTCGTTTGTTGCTAGACAACAGATCAGAGAGCTCCTTTATCACCAGTTTGGAAGCACCGTTCTAATTTGAAAGTTATTTTGTGTAAACTTATTTGTTAGCTAAAAACCTTAACGTAAAGGTTGCCTTTTTGTAAAGAGTTTTATGTGGGGATTTGCTCTCCTTTACTGTATAGGAGTCTTAATGGCACTGAAGGATAAGCACTGGATTGCTAACCCACCCATAGGAAACAGAGGTTCTCAGATTTTTTTTTTTTTTTGCTCCAATTCTTCCCATATTTTGACTAGAAAAAAACCCACAAAAACTTTCATGAACTAGTATGTATTCTGAACATATCTCATGGACCCTGATATTGATGATCCTACTCCATCTCATGTTTCATAAAATTAATATGGCAACCCATCAACAAGTCTTGTAAACCACTGGCTTAAGCTGGGGTAGCTCCCCAAGATCGCATCCTGTGCTTAAGTGGCACATGCCCCTTAGTCCCTCGCTGAGTGTGGCAGCACCTGACTGGCAGAAGGAGCACTGTGAATGTAAAACCAGGAAAGGAGGATTTAAATCCTGGCTCTGTCACAAACTAGTCCATTTGTTTAACTCTCTTCTATCTGCTTCCTTCTCTATAACATGGAGTTCTTAATAGTGCTTCCCTACTCAGTTCAAGGGTATGTAAGTGAGAGCCCTTTGCACACTGAAAATTCACCCAATCAGTTCCTTTCTTTTTCTAGAATCACCTCTGTTCTCAGCCAACCCCAGGAATGCTTGTGCCAGATTGCATGCAGCTTGACATAATTAATGTTTGTTATTTCAAATGCACCAAACTGTTGACATGTAGCACGGTGGCTCCGTAATATAGACACTGGACTGCTAACCACAAGGTCCATGGTTCAAGCCCACCAGCCACTCTGTGGGAAAAAAATGAGGTTTTCTGCCCCCACAAAGATTTTCAAGAGCTATAAAAGCCTATACAGGGTTGCTATGAGTCAGAACCGACTCAGTGGTACTTAACAAACCTTAACATGTGCTCAGTGTTTACTGTTTGCCTCGGCTTGGTCAGCAGCTTAGGGTTTAGGAGACAGTGCTGACCCTTCCTCTCTCCTTTGTTCAGTGCAGCCGCTGCCCAAGGGGGACCAAGTACTGAACTTCTCTGATGCAGAGGACTTGATCGATGACAGTAAACTCAAGTGAGTGGCTGGAGCTCGACAGGGGTGAAGGAGAGCTGAGCGGCTCCCATAGGATAAAGCTGCCTGGGCTGCCCCCCCTAGCATGCCTGCCTCAGGTGCTCAGACTCCAGTACAGCTCTTGATGCTTGGTCCCCTGCTGACCCCCTCCCTTCTTAGTGGGCGGGCCCCTGTTAGGTGACTGCCTTAACTTTGTCTTCACCCCAGGCCCAGGGGAGGAGGCTAGAGGAGATATCCCAATGGGGATCTGGAGATACCCCGATGAACCAAGTAGCACCCAAATCTCGATGGCAGGTGAGCTGGAAGTAAATATAATTCATCTCCCTTTGCCTGCCTTCTTGCCCCTCAGGGACATGCGAGATGAGGTCCTGGAACATGGTGAGTGTGCCCTGGAGGGACAGTGCCTGCCAGAGTGGAGAGCAGCAGAACAAGGCACTGGTGACCTTGGGGTGTCTCTTCTGACCGCCCCACCTCTCCCCAGAGCTGACAGTTGCTGACCGTCGTCAGAAGCGAGAGATTCGGCAGCTGGAGCAGGAACTGCACAAGTGGCAGGTGCTAGTAGATAGCATCACAGGTGAGGGTCAGGGGGCCAGCCTTCACCTCTTGTCACCCCATCCTGAACCTCTTATCACCTAGCTGGGTTCACCCTCATTTCTCCAGCTTCTGATTCCTGTCCCTCAGTAAACCTTGCTCTAGTCCCTGCCTCCTACCCTGTGCACCAGGGAGGGCTCTTCCCTAACCCTGCTCTTCTCCCAGGAATGAGCTCTCCAGACTTCGACAACCAGACACTGGCAGTGCTGCGGGGCCGCATGGTGCGGTACCTGATGCGCTCCCGAGAGGTGAGGTGGACCTTCCTGTCAGTCTTCAATTTCACTGCCCTTTCTGTGTCTAGTCCCTGTGGCCTCACCCTTCCTGACCTACATAGACCCCCAACCCCATTCCTCAGGTCCTTGCTTTCACCTGTCCCATTTCTCCAGATCACACTGGGCAGAGCAACCAAGGATAACCAGATTGATGTGGACCTGTCTCTGGAGGGTCCAGCCTGGAAGATCTCCAGGAAGCAAGGTACTGCCCCGGTTGAAGCAATGTGAAGATGATCCTTCCAGCTCTGTTCCTGGGATGCTGCTCCAGAGGCAGAGCTGATAAATGGAGGTCTCCGGCTCATTCTTGGCTGCCCCTCCACTTCCACAGGTGTCATCAAGCTGAAGAACAATGGGGATTTCTTCATTGCTAACGAGGGTCGGCGCCCCATCTACATTGACGGTCGGCCTGTGCTGTGTGGTTCCAAATGGCGTCTCAGCAACAACTCTGTGGTGGAGGTAGCTGGGTGGGATGGCCAGGATGACACTGGGGTGGGATGACCCAATAGTGGCCTGTCCCAGGCCTTTGACCCAGTCTTCTTGCACCTGCAGATCGCCAGCCTCCGATTTGTCTTCCTCATCAACCAGGATCTCATTGCCCTCATCCGGGCTGAGGCTGCTAAGATCACACCACAGTGAGAGGTGGCAGCAGGCTATGGGGCTCCCTCTGGCCTTAGTGTCCCTGCCATTCCAGCCCCTTTCAGCCAGGAACTCCAATTCCTGGAAAAGCCTTCTGCCTAGACTGGGCAGCAGGAGACCCACTGCTGGTCCATGGATTGAGCCTTTGAGAGAGGGTGGGACTGGCCAACAGGAAGCTAGGCAGAGGCTGGGACCCTCCCGCTTCCCTAGAGCCAGACCCTACCCTTCTTCCCTTGAGATGTCCACCTTCACTTCTTTGTCTCTTTTGTCTCCAGTTGATTAGTGCCAGACTTTTCCTTTTATTGTCTTTTTGGGATTTGTTTTTGTAAATAAAAATCACTGAATTCCAAAGGTAGTTTCTTTTATTATTATTTTTTAATATAAAAAAGGTAGGGACAGGTGGAGGCAGGGGCACATGCAGGAGCTGGCAGAACCCCTCCTTGACCTCAGCCCTCAGCCCCCCTGTCCCCAGCCTGCAGAGGAGGGAGGGGCCAGGGAGCTGGCTGAGAAGGTGCCCTGCTATAGGGCCCATAGGTTCTCAGCCTTGGGGCCTGCCCCTGAGGCTCCAGCCCACCCTTTGTTGGGGTCCTGTCACTGCCCTGAGCCTGCAGGCAGCCCGGAGTCCGGGGGTGGCTGCTGCCCCTTCCTCCACCCTGAGGTTGGGCAGAGCACAGATGGCAACATGTCTGGCAACACTGAGTTCTAGGGCTGAAGTCAGACCCCAGTGCCTTCTTCCTGGGTCCACTGGACCGTGCCAGAGCCATGGCAGCCAATAAGCACCATCTCCAAATTATGGGGGTCCCAGGGCAAGGCCAGGCCACCAGGCTCAGGTGGGGGTTCTCCAGTGCTAGTGGCCTCAGCCTGGCTCATGGTCTCGAGGGGCCCAGTCCTAGCCCCTTCCTCAGAAGGGGGAGGTGACTCAGGGGTGCTGGGTTCGGGGCAGAGTTCTGATCCAGGGGGCTCTGAGTCTGAGGTGGAGGTCCAGAAAGTCGAGGCTCTAGGCCAGGGAGAGCTCTGAGAGGCTGGGGGGCCCCAGGGCCAGGGTGCCATGATAGGAGGGGGCCCTGGGCGAGGGTGTGGCCAGGTTCCACTTAAGACGGAGCCAGCTGGGGGCTGCAGGCAGTAGGACGATGCCCCAGTGTCCACACACAGAGGCTGCAAGAGTCCAGAGGCGCTGGCTGGGCACAACCCTTCCCCGTGGGGCACCAGGACCAGCTGCACCGCCTGGCGGAGTGATTGCAGGCCCTCCCGCATCTGCAGTACCTGCTCAGACAGCTCCATCACCTGTGGGGGAGGGATGGGTGGGTCACCTGGACCAACACCCTTGCCCAACAGTGGGGGGCCTGCCCCTCCCCTTGTACCTCACCCACCGCCTGCCGAAGCTTGTCCAGTGTGTCTGCATTCCTCATTTCGCTGGGTCCAAGGGGGACAGTGAGTAGGCCATTCTCTGTGGATAGTGGGGCAGGATTAGCAGTTGAATTTTGCACATACTCCTATGGGCAGGGAAAACACCTTCTACTAGCCCTGGTCACACTACCTGGTACCTACCCCCTCACCCTCAGGAGGCTGCTCTTTGTACTTGTCCATGGTCTGTCTGCCAAGGCAATAAACCGCCTTGGGAATCCTAGGGAACACTTCTACTCTGTCCTGTAACATCAGCATGAGTCAGAATGCACTCGAGGATAGTGGGAGCTCATTGCCTGTCCACTTCTCAGATGACCTGGCCTAAGGTCATTTCAGTTCTGGTTCCTAAACACTCTATCCAGCCGTACCCCCTAGCCCCCACCCCAGCAAGCCAGACATTGTACTAAGTGTTTCACAATATTATCTTATTAAACATGCATGAACTCCCATTTCAGACACAGGAAAGTGTTGCTCAGAGAAGCCAAGGTCACATTGCTAGGAAGCTGGGCAGGGATGTCTGATACCACCAATGCAGAGGTGGGTGAGGGCAAGAGGCTTTAGGCAGTTTGTATCACAGGCCAAAAGTGCTCTAGGTTCACAGGGGCAATGGACTGCCCACCAACCTACCCCACCCAGCCCATACCTGGTCCTGGGGAGGGGCTGCTGCTACATTCTGGGCCAGACTGCCCCACTCGGAAGGAGAACTTGGGTTGATCGGAGCCACAGCCATCCTCAATGCCATCTACAACCCTGAAGACCCAGGCACCAGGACAGCAAATCAATTGACAGGCAGCCACTGTGGTGTTGTACAGAACAGTATGCCCCATGGCCACACACACAGGCTTCCTGCAGAAGGCACGCTTGGACCAGGCAGACTGGAAGGTTTAAGCTGGGAGGATGGGTTTGCCTGCGCCCATCATCTCCGTTGCTCACCTTGGACTCAGATCAGGAGGCACATTCCATGGCATGGAGGGCAGCCGAAGTCCCTCTAGGCTCCGTGGGTGGGCAGAGGGGCCGGCCTCAGCCTTGGGCGCTGCTGCCCTGCCCGGTCGCCCTCTGCCGCCTAGACGAGGCCGAGGTGCAGCTCGCCGTGGGGAAAGCAGCTTGGCAGCCGAGGATGAGGAGGTGCAGCCAGGAGACAGCAGGGGGCTGGAGGGCTCATCAGCAGTGGCTGGGGAGACCGCAGGGCCCTGCTCCCCATCCGTCTCCTTCTCCTCCAGTGTGGACATCAGGGTGTTGTCTCCGCTCAGGGAGCTGGTATCTGCCTGTGGGAATCCGTCACGATGGTCACTTTGCTGCCCACTCATTTCCACCCTCAGGCCCCCTAGATGATGCCCGGTATCTGCTACTCTTAAGAGAAGAGGCCCAGTCAGCAGAAGGGGTGTTAAGCCCTGGAAATGTCCCTCAAAAAAAAGAAGAAAAATGTGCACACCGCCCTTCTTCTTGGTCCCTCAGGCTAACTGAATTTTCCAAGAGAAAATCATACTAGACACTGGCTTGAAATCAGTAATATATTCTGGGAAAATTTGAAAGCCTCTCAGAACCGTCCTGTTTCACCCTGACCAAACAGGGAAGCCACCAGGCTCTCTTCAGTGTCACATCCCTGCAGTCTGTCACCCATAGACTTCGTGCCCTCAAGTCTTCACTCTGGACAGGCCCAGGCTGTCTCAGATCGGAGGGTGGCAGAGCATGGTTGGGCTGGGTGTGAACAGGCAGGAAGAGTGTACGCCCACCACCTGTAGGACTTTCCCAGTGGGCCCTGCCCTGACACGCCCCCGCAGGCCCCAGATGCTGTGCATCCCACCCTTCCATGCACGTACCCAGCAGCCTCACCTCCCCAGGGCCTCCCCCAGCACCCAGGTTGTAGCTGAGCTCCCCACGGAGGCCACGGCTGAAGCGTGGGGCAAACTCAGGGTACAGTGCGAGGCTCTCATGGAGTCCTGCCAGCTGCAGACACTGCAAGACGCAGTACGTCAGCCCCTTCACGTCGGCATTGGCCTTTACCACCTGCTCCCGCCTGGGCAGCTCGCAGCCAATCAGATCACCCTTCCCTGAGGAGAGGAAGCAAACATCAGCACCAAGAGAGGGGTGGGGTGGAGGAGAAAGAGAGCTGGAGGCCTGTGAGCTTCCCTCCCTCAAGTTGGGCCTTTTCAGCAGGAACCCACTGTGGAGCCCTGTTAGAGTAAGGACAAACAGGGGCCAAGTGTCTCCCTGCCCCCCTAGCTCCCCAGCTAGGCTTGAGGTGGAAAGTACTAACCTCTGAGTTCCCACAGATATTCGGGATCAAAACCACTGTCCGGAAACACATCAGAATTTTATCTTGGAGATCTGTAGATCAGAATCCCCTGGTGGTGGTGGTATGCCACCAAGTCAATTCCGACTCATAATGACCCTGAGGCTGTAAATCTTTATGGAAGCAGAAAACCTCATCTTCCTCCCTAGGAGCAGCGGGTAGATTTGAACTCCTGACCTTGTGGTTACCAGGCCAGTGCTTATCCTCCAGCACCAGCAACACTCCTCAACCTAATCTACAAACCCTCATAAGATCCACAGAAACCCCATTATCTGACTTTTAAAGTCACAAAGGCGATCCAGGCAGCTCATGCAGGACAGTGTTTAGAACCAGCAGTGGAATGAGATGACCCTTGTGGCCCCATGAAAGTGCCTGTCTCCACAGCACTTTAAAGTTGTGTGGTCTTGGCCAAATGACTTCATCCTCCTGAGATCTGGCTGCCATGCAACTGAATCCATGATGCTTTTTTGAGGTCTTCTACCACCTGGCTGACAGCAATTACAAAGTGGCATCTATGAAAATCTGCATTCCAACTGCAGCAATGCTAAATTGTGTGGAAGACGTGTGGCTTAGAATCAAGGAAAGACAGTGTCTCTGTCTGGGGATATGGGCTGAGTTCATGTAGATAGAGTGCTTGGCACATAAATAACCAATAAAACCTCATTCCCTGGTCTCCTCTTTTGAAGAGTCCCCTACAGGTCACTGACAGCAGGGATGGGTTTGCAGTCTGGACTTGGAGAACACTCACTCCCTCACAAGAAGATGGTTCCACTGCCAGACAATTCACAGAACTAGAAAGCATGTCCTTATCCTGAAGGTCAAAAATGGCTCCTTCCCATGGGCGGCAGCACACTACCTGCAGCATACAGAGTTCAGCAGCCTCCTCTAAATGTCCATGAACTTCTCCTCAAACTTGACAGTCTATCCTTCTGAGAACTGTCAGTGTGATCATCTGATGAATGAGATCCCCCTTCCTTTGTGTCATCTGGAAGCAGGATAAACGTTGTTTCTTATCTTCTTCAAAGAGGTAAGGTGAAAGTGAGAGATAGGACAGGACCAAGGACAGAGCCCCATGCCACAGTGGTTCCAGGGACCAGAACCTGCCCTCCAGGTTGGCACTTCAGCCACATCCTCCAGACTCTGTGAGTGGTGAGTCTGAGCAGGCAGGGTATACCTGGGCACTGCCACTAAAGAGGCAGGTGGGTGATAGGAGGGTGACGGTAAACAGTAAAGCAGGAAATCTGGTGACTGTTCTGAGACACGGTGCCAGACAGCAGTGAAGAGATGCTCTCAGACAACCCAGCTGATTTCTAGCCACATGGCTTCCTTTGTCTCCAAACCTGAAGACTAGCTGTTGAATAATCCACATGATAATCTATGAATTGACAAGTCTTAACTCATCACAATTGGTCTTTCTGCCTTTCTGAATCTCCCAAGTTGGCCACCATTTTTCAGAGATTACCAACCACATTCAGGAAGTCAGAACATTTTCTCAGAGTCCTGGCATCAACCTAGTATTTAGGCCTAGAAGCTGAACTCATGAAAGATGCAAAGCGAAGAGTTTCACAGGCTCCAGCCCCTTGCTGGTGGTGGTTCTCCTGTTTCCTGTAGGAGAATCATGCTCAGTGGAGCAAGAATGTACATAAGATAGCTGTTAAGGTGTCAAGGAAGATGGCGCAGCCTTCCCAGCATAGAACCTGCCTTCTTCCTCTTGCTGCTCGTCTTCATTGTGGATTGCTGGATTAGTGACAAACCTCAGCTTGTCTGGAGCTTCAGTTGTCCCCACAGTGATTCCACAAGAGCTTTGGCTGAGGATTCAGCTGTGGTCACAGGCACATCTTCCCTCTGTCTCCCTTTATTACTTGGCAGGCCACTGCCTTTCTCCCTCCTGAGGTCACTGCTGAGAGCCCTGGCCACGCAGCTCAACTCCCAGTTTACACCTTTTTTACGGATCCAGCCGTGTTTCTCAGAGTACTTGAACGAGCTTCCCTAAAGCCTAGGGTGCATGTCCAATCATCCTAAATCATTCTCTTACTGTGGGCCATGATTTCCCCCACTTTCAGAGAGCACATGTAAGAAATGTGACTTTCAGTCAGTAGACAAGACTAACTCAAGCTCTGCCAACTCCCAGCTTTTCACTAACCTCTCTGGGCCTCGGTTTCCCACTATGTAAAATGGGAAGAAAAATACTAGTTTGTGTGAGATTTCACAAATAAGGGGCTGGGCATAGGCTGGACCTGTCATGAGGCCCATGATTATTACATCAATTCTGCAACGCTGATCTCCTTGTCTAGAGGAATCAGTCCTCATGTTTATTCTTTTACCAAGAAATATATATATAAAAAGAAATATATAGCCTGTCAGATAGATACCTGTTTTCACCCACATGAGCCTTCCCCTGGCAATTTGGAGGCTGAAATCGGCTAGCTTCTTACCTGCTCTATGGGCAGCAGGAAGCCCCATACAAAAGTGCTATCACGGCTGCTGCTGTTCAGTCTGAAGCCATCCCAGGCCTTCCCTCCTCAGCATTTCATTTCCCTCCTTGACAGAGAACACTGCTCCCTCTGCCTCCTCACAGAGACAAAAGGCTCAAGCACAGAAACACCCATGAGACCAAATCCAATCCGTGGCCACTTAATCCTCTCCGAGCTTTGCCCAGGACTCCAGGCTTGCTCCTGACTTTCCCTTCCTAGTTTTGGGGTTTTCTCCGCATCAGGACTGTGGTCCCCAGTCCACCCCCTCGCCCTCCTTCCCATCATTTCACAAACCTAGGATGGCGAGCACAGTGCCACCCTTGAGCACCTCCATGGAGCCGGAGCAGACGAAGTAGAGGGCCTGGAGAGCATCGCCTTGGTGAATGAGGTACTCTCCGGGTGTACAGAAGGCGGGCCTCAGGGCCAGGGACAGGGCCCTCAGGCAGCCGCGGCTGGCCGCCTCAAACAGGGGCAGTTGCAAGACCTCCTTGTGCAGGTGCATGGCAATGTCTGCACGCAGCTCATCTGGGAGACTCTGCAGCAGCTGCAGGTGGGTGGAGGAGGGGGGCTGGTTGGGAGGCAGCCTCCAGCCAAACCTTTCCCACCCAGCAGGCCTCAGGAGAAATGGCATCATGCCCCACTCAGGGTACAACCAGCAATGGGAACACCCCAACTTTTCCTCCTGTAGAACTCAGACTTGGGACTTCAGTGAGCAGAGCCCCCAGTCCTGACAAGTGTGGAGTGGGGCCCTTTGTCCTGCCCTGGAGTTCCTCTAGGAGAGAGCTGAAGCAGGGCAGCCTCAACTGCCCATTCCCACTCCTGACAATCTGAGCCTGAGTCTCAAACCCCTGAGGGAACTAAGGCAAGAAGGGCCAACCCTGGAGGCTGCCACTGCACCTCAGTGGTGTCGATGCCATTGTTCACGGCCCAGGTGGCCTGGAAGTACTCGAGCATGCGCTGCTTGAGGGGCTTGGGGATGCGATGGATGCGGATGTAGTCACGCAGGTCTCGGGTACGGCTGTGATACAGAAAGCGGCGGGCGTACATGCGCTGGATGATAGCTGTCACGTTCCCAAACACCACCGCGTGCATCAGGGCTGGGGAGGGTGGCAAGAGGGGGTCACCCACAAGGCCCAGCCTGGCCCGGCCTGACATCATGCTGGAAACATCTGTCCTCTCCCACCCTTGGCATGTTCCTTGGCAGGGCACATGGGCTGCTGCTGGTGGGGAGTCTTGCAGGCAATTGTGACTTGCCCAAAAAGGGCCTTGTGTGCTACAGACCCTGTGAAGCAGAAGGGACTCTGGGGAAGGGGGGGGAGGGAGCAGCCAGAAATGAGAGGTAGGACCACAGACCCTGTGTATGGGCTGGTGGGGGCAAGTGGCCGGACTCACCGCCAATGAGCATGGTACAGATGGAGAAGATCTTCTCTGTGTCCGTGTTGGCGGACACATTGCCAAAGCCCACGCTGGTGAGGCTGCTGAGCGCGAAGTAAAGCGAGGTGATGTAGGCGCTGCGCAGGGACGGGCCACCCAGGAGCTCCAGCACCGTCCCGTTGGCCTCAGTGCTGCTGCTGCTGCAGTTGTCATTCTGGACAGAGCTGTTTCCTCCATCTGGATTCCGGCCCACCAGGTAGTAGGGGGTCTCTAGGCGGCGGGCCAGCTCCTGCAGCCAGCCTGGGGAAGGGCAGGGGGAGAGCCTAAGCAGGTAGGACCCCACTGCCAGACTGTGGATGCAGGTGTGCCCACTGGGACCCCAGGGATGGGAGACATGCAAACACACATCCACCTCCCCATGGCTTCTCGCCACTTGTCCCTATCTCCTCTACCAGCACACCACTATGTCCCCTCAGTTCCCAAGTGCCAACAGGGCAGGGCTTTCATCACTCCAGCCCACTTTCACTGATGCTGAGAATGGAGCTAGAGCTGTTTTGCCTCTTTCCTGTGGCCTGGAACCTTGGTGGCACTGTGGGATAAGCATTGGGCTGCTAACCACAGAATTGGTGGTTCGAATCTACCAGCAGCACCAGGCGAGAATGATGAGACTGTATGTCCCCATAATGATTTAGTCTCAGAAAGCCTATACTGGATCACTATGGGTATTCAACCAATGGCAGTGGGTTTGGATTTTTTTCCCCCTATGCCTGGCACCAATCCCAGATAGCAGGCCCAGCTGGAGGAGGCAGAAGGACTAGACAGGATTACTATGCCGAGACACAGTCCTGTCCCCAAACCTGAGAGGTGAGGACTCTCCTTTGCTCTGTCCACCCAGACTTCTCTTCTTCCTCTTTCTCGAACCCACCTCCTCCAGAAAGCACCTTGTCCCACCACATACACATTCAGCCTCCTCCCTGCCCATAATCACATACCCTCAATCTCACAGACATACTCCTACACACCATCCAGGCTGCAACACACACCCTCCCACAGTCCAGAGATAAGGACACCAATGCACACTCAACTAAGCAAGCACAGGCACAGCCTGTAAGAAACACAGGTAATTGTACCTGACACACGAGAAGATAGGAGCACACACATGGGCACGAACACACAGGGGAAGCCACAGGTGGGCAGACAACCTAGGCCCCCTGGCACTGCACTAGGTCAACGGGACATGAATAAAGATGACTCCAGCTCTCTATAAACACTCACCTTACCTCACCTTTCCTGGATTGCCTTGGTGGGAAGGGTCTTACATGAGCTCATGGCTGCCTCAGAGCTTAGCCAGAGGTTGTGGGATTCTAAGGTTTAGGATAGGGGTTCAAATGGTTGACAGCAGTCCTAAGGTCCTGCAGAGTTGGGGGCCATGGGAGCAAGGGAGAGAAAGTAGACTGGTCTAGGATGGAGATCACACAGGGTATGGTGTGTGGCTTGTGATTGGAGGCTGTAAGATGAGCCCTCCCTTCCACACACACTCTGCCCTATCCACTGCAATACGCCCCAAGTCTCCCACTGTCTTCAACATTGCATGTATGTTCCCTGTGATCCCCACGCCCCTCCTCTCACCCACCCATCCATCTATCCATCCAGCAACACCATGTGCCAGGAGCCAAGGAACCCACAAGAACTTCCAGTTGGAAAGGAGCAGATTAACATTAGCTACAGCTCCGAGGGGCACACATCCTAAATGCCACAGGAGGAGGCTCAAAGCAAAGCACTAGGAGCTGGAAGGAAGCGCAAAGCAAAGCGCAAAGAGCTGGAAGGAAGGCTTCTTCGAAGAGGTGAAATTTGTGCCTAGCCTGGAAGTGTGAGTAGGATTTTGATATGCAGTCCTTCCTGATCAAAGAAAAGACACAAGGCAGGTCAAGATCTTCCCTCTCCTCTCAGTCTTGTCTGCGGGTACAAGCTGCTCCTGGAGTCTCTGTGTAGGCAGGGCATGGGGGATTCTGGTGGCTTCCATACCTAGAAATATTCTGAATTTACCTCCCTCCTTATTTAGTCTTTTGAAACTCCGAAAATCCAGCCCATCTCCCTGGGTCAACAGGACTTTGGGGAAGGAATTCCATGTCCACCCCATAGGCAGTGGAGAACCAAGGTGAGGGAGAAGATACTTTCCCCAACCCCAACCCCAAACCCCACCCCACCCCCGCCCCCCAACACACACACCCAGAGCTGGACCAGTAAGGCACTGCTCTTCCCACCAAGGGCTCAGCCTTAGGAAGATTAGGTTTGACTCCAAAAAGCAATCTGGGAAGAAGTTTCACTGATGAAGGAAGGGGAAAATGATGATGTGAAGGACCTGGAAACTCCCCAGATGTGGATTAAAGCCAGCCCCAAATGAAACCAACCTGAAATTTATGGTCCAAGGGTGAGAGAATTACCAGGCAAATCTGTAAGAGTCAGCCCCTGTAACCCTCAAGCCACCAAACCACAGCCAAAGGTGTTCTTAACATCAGCTCAGCAGCTGCTTAGAGGTGGTTGGTAAGTAAAGAAGTGCTGAGTGTACTCAAGACCAAAGACATCTGGGCTCTACTGCGGTGGGGGGGTGGGGGGCTGGCCTGGGGAGGTGGGTGTCTCCTTCCACCTTGTTGCTTTGTTAGGCCACTAGCCTCACACCCTCTGACTCAGTGCTCACTGGATGGATGTCTGACCCTGGAGTCCCTCTGGGAAAGGCAGGCACCAAGCACCTGACACTGCTAAGGGGCTTGAGGACCCTGGTTCCTGTGCTTATCAGCTCAAGCACTCAAACAAGTCTCCAGGTTAGCTTGGAGGGAGAATGGGTTCACAGGAGCCTCATTGTCCCTGGGCACTGACCCTGGATGCTTGGTGTCCCAACAAAGAGCAGATAGTCCATGAGCAGCAGCAGTGGTCTGAGCAATTGGCATCTCCTCTCTGACAAGTGATAAAACCAGTTCTGGGAAGCTGACAGAAAGCTGGGGGTTGGGAATGAAAAAACTGAGTTCAATTTTGGAGCTGGCAGGCTAGCAGGGTTAGAAATAGCTGGCAATGAGGTTTGAAGGTAAAGAGAGAAAGGACAGAAGTTGAGATGTTCAGATCTCAGACCCCAGTGGCCTCACCAAGGGGGACCAAGTACGGGGGGAGGAGAGCTCTAAGGGCCTCGCAGGATGGGATTCATTCAAGGAGGCAAAGAGGGAGAACAGGGCTAGTGGGGTCAGCTGCTCCAGGCACTTTGAGGAAGATGAGGGTGTGGCCCTAGAAGGTCACAGTGACCTTCTGGGTGCCAATTTTGGTGGAGAGGTGGGGGTGGCAGCCCTCCTGGCAGGAGTTAAGATGTGAGTGGGAGGTGAGCAGAGGGAGGCAGCTGTGAACATGAAGGTGAAATGAAGGAGAGTGGAGGCTGGGGTGGGATGCAGAAAAGGCGGGTTTGGGGGCTGGGAGAGAGCTGAGAAGTAGCAGAATGAGATGAGGACTAGAGGGGAGAAAAGGAACAAGAAAGGGACAGGGCATCAGAGGTACAGTGCTCAGCACCCTGCTGACAGAGGTAGGGGTTCTGGTGAGGCAGGCCTTAAGGAATGTGACAAAGGTTTGGTCATCTGGAGGCCAAGATGGGTGAAGGAGAGGGTAGGGAGTAGTTCAGCACAGGGGAGCTGCCCCTGCTCCCAGGCATCTCATCAGACACTTTATCCAAGGCCCTGGGGTACAGGCCTTCTGCATGGGGGTGGTTCTATCACACTCACATCTGTACCCCCCACCACTTGGACACATATAACCACCAGCTCCCCATTCTTCTCATGAGCACACTTGCTTGTCCTCACTTTGCTCTCATATACACATGCCTACATGTACATGTTCCCTTAGAGCAAACATTCGCACACATTCATGCACACTTGCACATGTATTTTTGACATTTCTCTGATACACACGCACAAAGTCTTCAGTACCAATCTCAGGCAGCTCGGATTCACTGCTCTCGATCTCCCGCTGGCCAATGTAGAACCAGACGCAGGCCACCCAGTGGGCAAGCAGGGCGAACACAGCCATCAGCAGGGTCAGTACCACAGCGCTGTACTGGGAGTATCGGTCCAGCCGTGGCAGCAGCCGCAGCAGCCGCAGCAGCCGCACAGTCTTCAGCAGGTGGGCCCCAAAATACTGAGAAGGGGCAGGGAGGGAGGGTGGTCACCCCTAGGTGGATCCCTCTTGTCTCACCCCAAAGCCCACCTGCCCACTCCAGCCACACTGACCACATTGACTTTGAAGGCATGTAGCAGGTCAAAGGGCAGCGCCGCGATGACGTCCAGCAGGAACCAGGTGGTGACGTAGTGAAGGCAAATGGACTTTGGGGCAAACACTACCTGCCCTGACTTGGACACAAACGTGGTACGGAAATTCAGTACGATGTCTGTGGAGAATCATGATGGGGGTCAGCATGGACTCTTTACTGGACACCTGCTCAGTCCCAGGTCCTTGACAAACATCTAGGATGTAGTTCTTACAGTAATTTCAAAGAACAGGCACTGATAGGCCTATTTTATGGAGGGAGAAACTAAGGCTTGAAGACCTGTATTACGGGCTCAGGGTCATATAACATTTTAGTGGCAGAGATATAGTGGAAACCTAAGCCTGGTTTCAGAGCTCATAGGTCACAGGCAGGTGGGGATCCTGGGGGAGGGCATGGAGGGCACCACTCCCATTAAAGCCAGGGCTGAGCAGGGCCCCAAGCCAGGGGCAGGATGGGGGTACAGAATAAACATACCAAGGATGAAGAGAACCTCCACGGCTAGATCACAGACGCTGGGAGGGCCACGGGCAGCGCTGGGCTCTCGGGCTGTGCTCACACACACGCTGTAGGGCACAGTGACGGCCACATAGAGTGTGGCGAGCAGGATGAAGCCATCCCAGGTGGCCCGCAGTGCGCCGCAGTGCAGCAGGATGAAGGGTGACTTCCGGATAGCAGCTACTTTGTACTCAGGCAGGTTTGGCTTCTCCCCAAACACCCCCTGGGAGAGGCAGGGCAGGAGATGGGTGCAGGCTGAGTTTTGGTAGTATCTGGGATAGCCCCGCCTGTCTCTCCCTGCATTCTCACATTAACCTCTGACAGAGGCATTGGAGTGCCCATTTTACAAATGAGAAAACTGAGGACCAGGGCGATTAACAGCTTAAGTGGCACAGCTGCTTGGGGGAGGAATCAGGATTGAACAAGGTCTATTTGCCTCCAAGGCCAAGGCTTCCCTCTCTGACACCCTTTCCTTAGTGTCTAGCCCCCAAAGTGTTGGAGGGGCCTTGCTGGCTACAGCTGGTTCCTTGGCGCCTTCTCTCTGTGTGGTTGGTTCAGTTCCCTTCCCCCATTTCCTCAGCTTATCCCTCCTCTACCCCTCCCTCGCCAGTGCTCAGCCCACCTTATTGAGCTTGTGTTTGCCCTTGGGCTGCTTCTGCAGGTGTCCAGACAGGTGGTAGAGCACAGCTCGGCTCCGCCGCCGGTTTGCATTGAAGCCTTTGGAGCCTGTTCGTCCATATCGGCGCCGGCCACCACCTGTAAAAGAAGGGCCATGAGAAGAATGGAGGGAACACTCACACACCCCTGCACAGGGTCTTGAGTATAGGACATCAGCTGCTGGTTGATTGTTCAGAGTCGAGGGTTCAGGCATTCCTTATTTCCCATGGGTACTTGCTAACCCCAGTGGTGGTAGTCCCATGTATGCTTATAGGCTTTTCTTCTCCCAGGACCTGCTTCCAGGAGAAGTTCAAGAAGACCAAGGTGGGAAGAGGAGACTCTATGGGAAAAGACCTATTTCCTTACAGAGTAGGAGTGGTAAGTGTATTCATGGAGGGCAGAGCTAGTGGAGAGCCATCAGGCCAGCAGAGGCCTGGGCGCCCCCGGTCCAGTGCAGGAGCAGAGGGGGTGCAGTGAAGACTTACAGAACAGAGGGGATTGGGGAGCAAGAATAGAGAGTGCTGCTAGTACCCCAAACCAGTTTTTGATGTAACCTGTCCAAAGTCCTGGCCCTGACTTTGGAGGGCAGAAAGGGTGAAAGACCCCAAGAACTTAAAAGGGGCTTTGGGAAGAAATTCCTTGTTAAGTTTGCTGTGAGGAAAGGCATCAGGGTTGTGGATCCTGAGCCAAGTGGGTCTGTGCTCAACTTCACCAACTGGTCCGAAGGTGGTTCACAGGCACTAGTGGGGTTTGTTTGCTTTCAGTTTCTTAGCAAAAGTGACTTTTAAGAACTCCAACTTTATCTCCACCAATTTATTTGGGAAAAAAATGTTCCCACACTTGAGCAGGTAAAGATGAGGGCAGCACAGGTCTTCAGCTGACCAGAGCGGGCGCAAGGAGGATCCAGGAAACAATGAGCTGGGTGCTGAGGCCCCTCATGGACCCAAGTTACCAAGTACCCCAGCCAAAGCAATTAAATGAATGGCCTTACAGACACCCACCTGTCTCCTTCCAGTTGTCGGGTCCCCCTCGGTTCTTGGTGTCACTGATGTCCTTGTGCGAGACCAGGAAAAGGGCCACCTCTCCTTTTTCATTCTTTATGGGTATCACATCCAGGAGACACCAGAATGGGAGCCCTGGGCACAAAGACAGACTTAGCCCACCTCCCATTCCCTGCCCTGCCCAAGGCCCTGGCTCTACTGATAACCTTGGCCAAGTCCCAAGCAGGACCGAGGACTTTCCTATGAAGGGAGTGACAGTCCAGTTCCACATGGAGCAGGGCTTCATGGAACAGGGTGAGGGAAGGCAAGAGGGAACAGACATGACTGCTGGTATGTGTGGTCACAGATCTGTCCTGCTGAGGCAGCGGGTTGGGGCAAGGGAGTTCTAGTCTACTGAAGTGGAAAGCCCAAGCTTAGAAATTTTGTGGAGGCTGAGTGAGAATGGGAGAGAAGAGGGTCCAGAACAAGAGGTGGGTGAGGGAAGACGGGTAGGTGGGTAGATGGGAAGAGCTGGGGAGACAGAAGATGGTAGACTAGAAAGCTGGCTGGGACAGTGGCTGGTGTGGGTGCCAGGCTGGGAGACTGCACAGGTGAGGCAGGCTGGCCAGGTAGCCCCTCACCACTCTTCCGATACAGGATCAGCTCAGCCTTGAATTCCTTGTGCTCGTCCAGGGCCTTACGGATCTGCTGACGGACGAGCTCACTAGTGTCTGGCCCGTAGAGGAAGGAACAGGCACAGCCCCGCTGCATGACCTCAGCCCGGGAGAAGCCAGTGAGATCGCAGAAGCCATCTGAGCAGTAGACCACGGGGAAGACCCCCGCCACCTGGGCATTGCCCAGCACGAAGTTACTGTCTGCAAGAGAGTACCTCTCAGAAGAGACCTGGAGTGAAAGGGAGGTACCACCCCTCCTTTTCCAAATGCTTGCAACCAACAGGTGGGTGTTACAAAGCCCAGGAATCCTGTTGGTGCCCTGCAAAGACCAGCTCTTAGCAGCATGGATATGTTCACCATTCAGTGTGAACACTAAAGTTGGTGGAAGTGGCCCTAGGGGCTCTGGGTGGGGATGTCCAAAGGAGAACCAAACTACCAGCTCACCCATCCACCAGGTCCCCAGACTGGTGGTCTGGCCCCTCCCCGTGGGACCCACCAAGACTGGGAAGCAGCCCAGTTCACCATTCAGCCTCTGCTTGAGCCCCACTGCCCGACCTGGCTCAGGAATTAGTGAGCACCGTCAAGAATGGGGGTGTAAGAGTGGTGGCCGAACATGGATGCTTGGAGCCAGGAATGTATGGGAAGTGGGGGGGGGGCACTGAATCAGCAGGCTATGGGAGCCAAGTACACTGGCAAAACAGATGGAAGAGCTGTGATGTGTGTATGGGCGGGAGGGGGGGGTCAGTGATTGGCTCCCCCCACCTCCAATTAGGAACGGAGACAAGGAGGATAATAGTTACAGAGCTGGGAAGCCCCGCTGGGGGTGAGTGTGAGGAAAGAGGATGACGGAGGGGGCTTTCACGACTTTCTCCGTGTTCAGCATCCCAATATCCAGAAGCTCAGGACACCTCCAAACCCCTTTTCAGTCCTGGTGGAAGTTCCCAAATCTTTCCTACAGACTAGACGGGATCCCCAAGGCTGGTGGGCTTAGGGCATGAGGTGGGGGCTAGGAGCACTAAACAGTGCTCTCCTCTCTGGGTCCCGCCTCTGGATCTCCGTTTGCAAACCTCTTTTCTAAATCTGTTTTTCGAGCCCTCCAGGCTGCCTTCGAGCACTGCTCCCAAGCCACCCCTCCCTCCAATCCAAGGGTAGAGCTGGGACAGCGCCAGACACAGGGATGGGATGGGTGAGACTGACTAGGGCTGGGTCCGCGTCCCAGCGAACGGAGCACCCTAGACCCCAAACCCCGGTAAGCCTCCTTTGGCCGTTTGGCCCCGCCTGCAAGCAGTGTTGACCCTCAACCTTTTAGGGAAACCGCGCTGGGAAGGATACGACGGTCCCAGCTTCAAGTGGGGGCAGTAAGCGGTAAGAATAGGCGAACGCCAGGCCCAGATGTTCTCCGGCTTGTCTGGGAGCTGGTGAGGAGAGGGTCAGACTCACGCGTGCCGTCGAAGCGCGTAGCGATGGTGTCCAGAAAGGTGTTCTGCGGCGCCAGGAGCCCCCGCATGGCCGGCATCTTAGGCGGCCGTAGTCGCCCGCCCCATCCCTTCGGGGCGCGGGGGCTCAGCGCCGGGGGAGGGCGCCCAGCTCGGACGCCCCCCGCCGGGCCCCGCGCCCCCTAGTGCAGCCGTCGGGGAGCAATGCCCAGTCCAGCCACGCAGGTTCCGTCAGCCGCCGGCGCGCGAGGGGGCGTCCGCGCCGTCGGGGTCCGGAGCATGGCGCGCGACCCCTCGCGCCCTCACCACCCACAAGTTCCGGGCGCCGCGCCCACTGCGCTCCCGGCACCCCCAACTAGCGGCGGCGATAGCTTCCGTTCCTGATGCGGGTCGGCTCCTGCCCGGGATCCGAGCGGCGCCGGGTCCCCGCAGCTCCCTCCGTCTGTCGGGGAGAAACGGTAGCTTCCCTCCCTACCTCCTGCGCCCGCCGCCTGCACCGGGGTAACCATGGAGACGGGGCACACCCAGTCAGGGCCGCCTCCTTAAAGGGACAGACCTCCCGCAGAGGGTACTCCTCCTCTCGAGACCTCGATGGGGGCAGGGAGGCGGCCGCCTCCCCTACCCTGGGCACGCGGGCCTGGAGCAAACCCAGCCGCCCCGCTCGCCCCTCGGAGCATAGCGAGCGAACCCCCTGTCCCGCTCTGGCTGACTCAGGCGCGCAGTTGCGAGGCGGCTTTCTCCGCAGCCTGGGGGTTCTCAAAGAGTCTCCTAGCAGCCTCGCCTCCCCCGGAGGGAATGGAGAAGGGAAGGGGAGGGGGGTGTATGGTGTAGAAGATGCTTTCCCTGAGGAAAAATGTAATGGGAAGGGGGATTAGGCAATTTGGTGGAGGTGGAGGAGGCCCTGTAGGTGGAGGCTGGGGATTACTTCTGGCGCGCCGAGAGGGGCTCCAACTGCACACACTGCACACACAGTAGAATCTAAAAGGAGGTGTCTGTGTGTGTGTTAGAAGAGGGAGCGTCTGAACACAGCGTCTGGTAGTCAAGTTTTTCTCATCCTTATCTTGACCCTCTGGAAAATGGATCGAGCCGCTAGTAGGGAGATGCCGCTGCAAGGAGAGAACTGTCAGGGAATTTGAAAGTGGGCTGGGCTGGGCTGGGCTGGGCTGGGCTGGGCTGGGCTTCCCATACAGGTCAGGCACTGTGAAGAACTCTCTAATCTTGGTGGGGGCGGGGCGGGGACGGAGGGCGGTGAGGGTCCTTGAAAGCAGAGAGTCAGGAAGACCTCCCTCCCAATCCAATTCTAGAACTGGACTCTGCTACAAAGGGAACTGTAGAGGGATGGCTGAGGCAGCCATCCTCCTGCCCTCCCCGTCTCGCCTCCTCCAGGCCAGGGGCTGGGGGAGGAGGGTCCCGCGGGGCGGAGTGGAGTTGGTCCGGGTCTGCTATCTCTGGATCGTCTCCCGCGCGGGGCCGGTCCCCCGAGCCTCACACTGCCAGCGCCGTTCCTCCTCCCTCCCACGATTTGCCAGCGAGCGCGACTGCCGCCCTCGCGCCACGGAGCCGCCGGGCCAAAACAGCAATTTGTTCCCGAGCTGGTGAAGCGGGAAGCTCAGCACCCCAACCTCTCGAGGAGAAACACCCACACCCACAGTCGCCAGCATCGGAAAAAAAGGAGTGTCCTCCGCTCCACCCACCTCTCCTCAGCGACAGGGACCAAAGCTCCAGACATCTGTATTTAAATGAGCTGGTGCCTAGGGGAAAAAGGGAGGAAGCATCTCCCTCCTTCAGTGCTCCGCATCCTGGAATCTGGCTTCCAGGACTGGGAGAGACCCAAAGGAGTCCACAAGTCCCCGCCGTTAGCCACTATTCTTCTCCAGGAGATGTACAAGTTTTCTACCAAGGAAAGCATGCAGTTTCGTTTGAGAGAGAGGTGATGTTAGGTTAAAAGTACCCACCAACTTGGGAACCAGGCTTCTTAGGTTTGAATACAACTCTGCCACTTACTGTGTGGCTTTAAAGGCAAACAAACCTTTCTGTGATCCAGTTTTCTTTTCTGTGAAATGGGGTTGGTAATAACTATCTTAAACATACACATACACACAGGGGGAAAAAAAACCCGTTGCCATAGAATCCATTCCGACTCATGTGATTCTGTGTTACAGAGTAGAACTGAGCTCCCAGGGTTTTTTAGGCTGTAATATTTGTATTACAGTAGATTTTCCACAAGGCTTTTCTTGAGCAGGTGGACTCTAACCACCAACCATTAGAAAGCAAACCATATTATCTCCACCCCCATTCAACTGCCAGGGAGTTGCTTCAGACTCAAGACCTTACTTAGGGTTTCAGAGACTATAAATCTTTAAGGGAGTGTATAGCCTCATATTTCTCCCTTTGCCACTGACAATTTTCAACCATGGTCTTGTGAGCCATCCAGTGCTTATCCTGCAGTTCCATTAGGGCTCCTTCAGAGTGTTATTAAAAAGACTAAATGTATGCACATAAGGGCCTAGAACTGTGTCTGACACTTGCACTATGTAAATATTTAGTTATCTGGGCGGAGTCTTCGAGTTTATTCCAACTCAAAGCAACCCTACAGGATAGAGTAGAACTGTTTCATAGGGTTACTGAGGCTGTGAGTCTTTACAGTAGCAGACTGCCTCCTCTTCTTTCATTGATAAGCCTTTTGATGAACCCAATGTTTAAACCACTGTACCACCAAGACTCCTCAGTCTCATTAAGACTCTGAGCAGTATAGACTTACCTGCCATTTCACAAATGAAGAGACTCGAGCAGGGTGGGAAGGTGACTTGCTTAAGGTAAAGAAGTTAGTAAACGGTAAGCCCAGAGTTCCAACATGAAAAATCTCACAACCTCAGGTTCAGAGTTTGCCGTGTTCTGCATAGCTGAGTCGCACTAGAGTCATGTTAGTGAGCCCTAAGTTTCCATTTTGTTAAAGCTTCCAGCTCAACTGTCTGGGCTAGTCTGGATATTAAGTAAAACCAGACAACTTGGGTCAAGGTGAGTGAGGAAGTAGGATGGCATGTGTGTAAGGTACCCCAGGTAATTACAATAGCTTATATTTATTGAGCATTAACTTTGTGCCAAGCACTGTGCTAAGTGTGTTCCTTGGATGATCTCACTAATCCTTGTAATAACTCTTAAGGTCATCACTGTTATGACTGCCAATTTATAGATGAGAAAATTGAGGTGGAGAGGTTAAGTACCTCACCCAAGGGGCACTGCACTGCCTTCTCCACAGCTCCAGGCACAATGCATGTTCTGGAGTCTGAACTCACTTCCAGGAAAGAAAACACTTTAATGTTTATTGAATGTTATAATCACCCTTCTTTCCCATTCCACCATGTAAACACTTTGCTTGGCCTTTAAGCTCCATCCTCTGCTGCTCTTTAGAGAAGCTCTGTGACAGTATGTGGGGTGGGGGTACTCACAGACCCTTTCCTTTAGGCTGGTCTGATGGAAGGGCTCCTTTTCATCTAGGTGTATGTGTTCCGGGCCTGAAACTCAGCCACTGTCCGCCCCGTTCACCCTCAGGTCTTCCTGTCAGCCCTGACTTCTGTTTGCACAGGTTCTTTCAGCTAGTGATTAATTCCCTGCATTTTCCTTTTACCTCCCCACTCCCAACACATACATCCAAGGGGGCTTCAAAAAGTTCGTTGAAAAGTGGAGCTAAAAGATAATGAAATTTCTCCATGAATTTTTGGGAAGCTCTCATGTGCACAAGGAGCAGGAACACATGTTTAGGAAAAAGTACAATGGGGGTTGGGAAGAAGGAATTTAAGATTCCATAGGGCTCTGAAATGTTGGGGACCACTGCCCTCTTCATTGTAACCCCCTTTAACTCTTCCTGTCCCCCCATCTCTGACTCATTTGGAGTCACAGGGAGGGGAAGGTAGGGGGGAGTATTGTTCCGAGACAGCTCAAAGCCTTTGTCAACAAGAAGAAACTCAGGAGGTTGCATTTTGGAGCTTCCGTGGGAAGCCTGTGGGAGTATTATCTACAAAAAGGAACAAGAAGGGAGAGAAGGGAAGAGCAAAGCAGGGGGGAAAAAATTTCAAGGCACAAAAGATGGAAAAAGCCCCTGCCTCCACCAAGCAGAGCACAGGCTCCTAGTCAGGCACACAGAGCAAGGGTGAGAACAGGTGGAAACAAGCCCTGGGCCTTTGTCCCACACTCACCATCCTCCTTCTTGGAGGTCCCCAGGTCTGCTCTGCCTGCTCAGATCCTGGCTCTCTTTGCCAGTGGCTAGGTTGTCCTTCTAAAGTTGTGTTGTATGGTGGGAAAACCATGGGTTTTCAAATCAGACGAGGTTCAAATTCTTGCTCTGACATTCTTGGATGGGAATTACTTAATCTCTCACCTCTTTGATTTATAAAGTGAACTTTCTCAAAGGATTGTCAAGGGGACCCAAGAGGAGTTTGGTAAGTGGTGGCAATTGTTAACTAAAAAGTCATCCTGAGCACTTATTCTAGTGAGTGCTGGGACAGTGAAAATGAGGTCAGGATGAAACCTTGCCAAAGGCTCCCCATCCAACCAAATAATCATTTGGAATACTTCAAGGACCTTTAGCACCTGGCTGTCTCTTCCATGCTGTTCCCTTTCTTTTACTGGAGGAGCCTAGCTGGAGTGTGAGTGGTCCACAGCAAACTTTCAAGCAAGGAACCCTAAGAGGTTCATATATAGGTAAACACAGATGAGGAAATGGAAAAGACGTTAAACATGGATGGCTGGTAAATGGAAGAACCAGGACTTGAAGCTAGGTCTGAACCAAACTTCAACTAGGTCAATCACCAACCAAACTTCAACTAGGTCAATAGCCATGTGTATGGCTGAGTGCTTTGTCTTGTTTTTTGATAAGCAGACTGTTCAAAGGGCACAGTATGGTCATTTTGATGGGTGGTCAGACAGTGATTTGCAGTGAGTTCTGCTGTCAACAGCAAGCAGGACTTAATTCATGGGGAAATCCTATGTTTGACTCCAGCATCCTGCAAGGACAGTCTAACACTCCTGCCTGGAGGAGGAGGGGCAGAGTACCTGACCTCCTAGAAATCTCATTCTCTCAAGCAGTGTGTTCTCTACCAGCACTAGAAAACAGGCTGTCTAAAGGCAAGTTAGAGAGAAAACCTAACTGGGTTAAGTTGAAGAGACATAAAAAGGA